TCGTTTTCCAGAATCACATTCCACCGCGGGAGAAGCGGGAGAAGCTTTCACTGACTGGGACTGGTGACGGGTCAGTTTCAGATAGTTCAGTCTCTCTTAAAATACTCCTTTAAATAAATAGCAAAATATCTACATCTTTCAGTGTGTGCCACTGGAATTATCTTTTTTTTTTTTAAACTTTATTTACAGATTCTCTCTTTTTTTTAAATCAATACATTACAAAATATTTCTGTACAGTTTTATGCATATTATGATCTATAACAAAATAGTTATTTTTAAAAACTATATCACCACATGTCTGAAAAAAAATGAGGGGAGAGCGGTAATAACTTACGGTGAGGCCTCTAAAAAAATACCCAAACAAATGCTACTGACAACGACTTTTTTTCTTAAAAAAAAAAAAAAAAAAAAGGACGGAAGGATTTCAAGACGACTGCGCTCCAGTCCAGCGGGTTTCCGAGGAAAACCTTGGGGTTGTCTTTGGCCTCGATCAGCCCTGGAGCATGGAGGGGGGAAGGGGCCGCAAAGGCGAGAGCCTGAGCCTGTGAGATTTCACGTCATCACGTTCCAGGCGGGAAGGATGAAGAGCTGAACGGAGAGGCCCTCTTAATGGCCCCTTGAGGGAAGGACAGAAAGTGACCAGGCCTGGGGTGGGGGTGCTGGGAAGCTGAGGTGCTCGCTCTGCGTGGGGGCAGCATGCGCCGCGTCCGAGCACCCACACTCCAGGCGCCTGCGGGCGAGGACGAGGCGCCTCTTTCAGGCGACAGCCAGGGCCCATTTCTATCGAGTCTGCTCGGCCGCCCCTGGCTGAGGGGGTCGCCACGGAAAAGCTTCAAGATGCTCCTTCTTCTGGGATGTTCGTGGAGATTGGAGGGGGGTGGGAAGCGGTCAGCTTCCAAAAATAACGTTAAGGCCACATTTCAAAAAGGAGAAACCTAAGGCTTTTTTTTTTTTTTTTTGAGGGGTTGGGGGATGGGGAGGGTAAGCCAGTCAGAAGATGAGGATGGAGAAGATGGCGTCAGGAATGGGGGAGTGGGGGACCAGGTCCGGAAACCGCTTTCCTGGAGGGTCTGTAGGCAGAAGGTTGGAATATTCTCGGCCCAGTGGAAGGAAGAGGGGAACACTTTCTCCCTGCATGGGGCTTGGCAAGGACAGAACAAAGACACGTGAGGGGCAGACACCTGTGGTGCGTGAAAGGCCCCCTCAGTCAAAAGGGGGCACTATATAGTATCTTGTCTGCCAGGTTAAAAAAAAAAATACTTCAGAGAGAGATGGAGACAGAGAGACAGAGTTTGCATAGATTGTACATTCAGCGCGAGCAGACTTGGACACCTTGAGCCCCCTCCCTCTAGTAAACTTGTCAGCAGACACAACGAGGTAGCGCCTGTGGTAGGCCCATGGGCAGAGTGAGGAAACTGAGGCAGCAGCAGAGGGTCATCCTGCGAGCAGGCCCAGCCCATCATGGCTTCCCAAGAGGCCTCCAGAGGTGTGGCAAGACGGCCGCCAAAACTGGGAGACACACCACTTCCTGCTCCGGGACCCTCCCCCGTCGTCTCTGCCTGAGTGTGAGGGGGCACTGGAAGGTGACTGGCAGCTGAGAACCTCATGTCTAAGGGGCAGCAAGGCCTGTTCCTTCTCCCCTCCAGCACAACTGACGCGGGGCCAGGAGAGCTGGGCGAGCCACTTCCGGCACCCTTCTCTGTGAGACCAGTTCTTACTCGAATGTCTAGAGAGAGGCTCCTGCTCCCTTCAGAGTTCAACAGCAGTGATTATGTCCATGCTGTTTCCTAGCGCTGGCTTTTCTTCTTCCACCAAGGCAGTGCCTGACCTCATTTTAAGCCATCTCCTCAGAGAGTGAGGTCACTGGCCCTGTAGACTGAAGTGTGTAATGTCCTCTTGCCCACACTCTACAAAAAAACTTGCCGCCATTTAAAACCCCGGTCCCTCTAAACATCTGGATTTCTGGCCTCTAGAGTGGAAGAATCTGCTATGCTGCGCCTGCATCTTCACAGGCAAGAGCAGCAGCTGCTTTCTTCACGTGCATGAGAGCTAGCCACAGTCCCCTCCACTCCCTGTTACCTTACATCTATGTTAGTGTCCTGGACACCACAGGCGTTTTGTGACCTGACCATACACAGCGTGGGCCTCTGATCTGATGGGCCAGAAGCTGCCTGTAATATGCCCCATTGCTGTCTGTATGTACCTCACTGCTGTCTGGAATAGGCCCCAGGGGTGCTGCCGGGGCACGTGTCCTGATTCCTCTTTAATGGGGTTGCGGCGGGCTGCAGCCCACACCCAGCCGCCACGGCTTCCTGTTTCTCGGCACCTCTGGGCAGAGGCCAGAGTCTCAGCCAGGGCACTGCTGGCTGGGGGTACCTGGGGGTACCTGTGACCTAGGGCACTGGGAGGAAGCCTGCTTGGCCCAGCCCAGGCACTGGCCCCAGTAAACTTCTCAGCAGACACAATGCAATTTGCCCTGTAGGGCGGATTTTTGGGGTCTTACTCATCCTGTCTAAATATCCCTTCACTTAAAGGGATATTTAAACTAACAATGGTTAAAAAAAGTCAGAATGACTTCTGATCAGACCAGAAGGTTCTTTTTCCAAGGTGGGGGTGTGGGTGTGGGTACGCATCTTAAAACACTGGGTGTTGTTCACAGCTTCTGGTGAGGACACTGGTCTGTGCGTGGCCTGGGCTGTGGCACCTGGGACGGCTTCTGCCCTGTGCGGGTTGGGTGGGGTCACCTTCAAGTGCCTGGCCTGCTGACCGCCCGGGCCCTGCTCGCCGATCCGCCAAAGGCCCACCCTGAGGTTGCAGGGGCCTGCGGGGCTCAGCCTGCCTCGCTGCCTCTGCACGTCACAGGGCTCGCAGGACCAGTGTCTCACGGTTTTGAAGCCCCACGAAGCCTCAGCTCAAGGCTGCGTGGCCGGCCCCGAACAGATAAACTGTTCTCAGGTTGACTGAAAAAAAAATGATTTGTGCTCTCTTTCCCCGGGAAGTTTCTTTCCTCAAACATCCTGGGTTTGGCAGCCCGCCACCCCCTTGAATCAAATGTAACACGTGTGGGGCTGTTTTCTGGCCCCCAAACAGGGTCTATTGGGACCCTCTGTGGCTGCTCAGGCCCCCCACGCCTTGTGGGGAGGGGTGTGTAGCCAGGACAGGGGAGGGGGGTTCTGGGGGGCGGTGAGCCCACCTGTCCTCTCTCTACCGGCTCGGGCTTGAGACAGGGCTAGGTCTCTGACGAGGGGTGCAGCTTCAAGGCCACGCACACCCCGGCCGGAGGCAGAGGCCTGCCGCACCCTGCTGTACCCCACGCGGAGGTGACCCGGCTTTCTGAGAAAGCGCCCGGCCCCGGAAGCCCCTGGCCTGCCCTCAGTGGGCCCCTTCCTCCTGTGATGGCCATGGCGCTTTGGGCTGGGCGGGAGTATGGCCAGCAGTGTGGGGGAGCAGGGCTGCCCACAGGGTCCCTGCGAGTCCCTGCGTCTGGGTGGGGGTGGGGATGGCGCAGGAATTCCCTCCCCCCAGAGCTGGACCGTGGAGGACACTAAACACCCTGCACAGGATGGGATAAAGCGAGACCCCAAATGTTCTCAAAGGTACCCCACTTTCAGCCAGGGGCCTGAGCATTCCCCTCATGGTGTCTGAGATCCCCGCCTTCCTCTGAGGGCCCAGAGATTGTGGGGCCGAGGGAGAAACTGAAAGAGACAGAGACAGGCAGAGAGACAGTGAGAGATGGAGAGACAGACAGGTGGGGAGGGAGGAGGGAGGCTGCAGGGGCCTTTGCGAATAAAGGCAGCTTCAGTTAGTGAGATGACGTTGTTGACAAGCTGCAGAAACAGCACCGACTAATTAGTCACTGACTAAAACGTATGAACAATAAACACCGAAAGTGTCCCTTCTCTGCGTGCTCCAGCGCCCACAGGACAGCCTGTCCGGCCGGGTCGGGGACGGGAGGTCTCGGTGGCAGCCGACAGGCCCGGAAGTGACTGCGGGACCTTCCAGCCGAGACCGAGGGCTGGGTCTCCACGGCGGGGCTAGTCCAGGGGAACCCTGTTCTCGGGGTGGGGTGGGGCCGGTGGAGGAAGGAGCCTGGGGAGGGCCCTCCAGATGAGCAGGGTGCCCCCCGGGGACACGGCAAGGAACCCCCAGGCTTCTGGTAACTCAAGCAGGTGGAGTACTATTCTCGCCCAGGCTTTCACCTCCCAGGTACTCACGCTGCCCCCTCACGCTGCCCGCGTACGCCATGGGCCAGCTGGCACCTTTGGCACGGGAAGGCGTGAAATTCAAACCCAAATGTGAGACGCTTTTTCCTGGGTGTGCAAAGCCTGCTCCTGCCCCACAGGTCGCGTGGCTGAGACACAGAAAGTGCCCGGTGGGGACCGCCCTGCTGTCTGACCCAGCACCTGGGCCATGACTGCAAGGTCCCAGAGCCAGGGTCAGCGGGACACTGACCTGCAGCCCGTGGACACTCCTGCTCATCACATTGCCCCCTTCCTGCTGTGCCCTGGGCCCAGAACACGGCACTGCCCCCCTCTGGAGGGGCCGGCTGGGCCGAGGTTCCTCCATCCCCCAAGGAAGATGGCTCAGCCAAGGAGGGGTGGGGGCCCCCGAGCCTCCCACCTCCCTGGGGAGAGCCCATGGCTGTCACTGGGCTGCGAGAGCCCACAGCTGTCACTGGGCATCGAGCGGAGCAGGCACGGGTCCCCCGAGGGGCAGGAGGCGCCGAGGGCGGGGTGGGAGACCAGCCCGCGGTCCGGTCCGGCAGTGCTCTTCCGACTGGGTTTCGTAGAGCCCTTGGGTGCTGAAGAGGTACCTTGGGAGACGCCCCTGGTGCAGGCACCGCGGCGGGCTGAGCTTGACCAAGGACCCGCGCCAGCTCCAGCCAGGGCAGCGAGGGCTGCGCGGCGGCGCCTCGACTTCCCCTGCGCCTGCGCTTAGTAAACAGAGTTCTGCTGCTCAAAATAAAAGCTTGAGAGTCACCTGTCTGGGGCGGGCGGGCCACTGGCGGGGAAGACTAGGAACTTGAAGGACTTGAGGATCCACCAGAAGAGGTAAGACCACCAAGGCGCCAGGGCGGACCCGCCCCGGGGCCAGCGAGCCAGGCGCCGGTCCTTGGCAGACCCTGCTGGCCTCCAAGCCTGCCTTCACCCCTCTAGGGCCAGGAGACCCCGCTCGAGAAAGGCACCCCCGGGTGGGAGGCGGGATCAGGCCCCACTGGCCCTGCTGCTTTCCCTTGAGCTCCACGTGGCTCACACGCGCTTGGTGCTACCTGAGCCGGCCATCGGGTTTGACCGCCCCCAGCTCCGACTTGGGGTCGGGGCTGAAGGAGCTCCAGGCCGTCTGGCTGCAGGACTGCATGACCGGGCAGGCGCTGGGGCCGGTGGTGCAGATGTCCATGGCGGTCCACATCCCGCCCACCAGCGAGTCCAGCCAGTGCTCCAGCACCGCGCCCGAGGACGCCGCGTTCCTCCGCGCCTGCTCCACTTGGGCGGGGACGATGGGCAGGCTGAGGACGGGGTTCAGGCTCTGGAAGCTCTGCTCCATGTAGGCGCTGCGGGGGGGCCCGCTGTGCAGCTTCAGCGCTGCCTCTGAAAGCCAAAGCGGACACTTAGCCAGGAGCAGCGCGCAGCGGGCGCCTCCCCCACCCCCCAGGCTCAGGAGAGAGGCCACGGCCGCCCCTGGTGAGGACGCGGAGACGGAGTCCACCAGTCCCACCACTCGGGGCGGGGCGCGGCCCCTGGAGACTCGCGCGCCCCATTTACCCGCACCCTCACTCATGCGTTCAGTGCTGGTCTTCCAGCACCTTCCGGGCGAGAGGCTTTCTTTGGAGCGTTTGCACTATGCGGCCACACCTGCAGCTGCCAGGCTCTATCTAGTCCGTGCGGTGGAGCGAAGCAGGTGCGGCGTCATGGACGTAACCACGGACGTAACCACGCACCGGGGGGACCGATGAGGACAAAGCAGCGAGCAGGAAGGCTGTTTCAAGCCCTGATGAGTGTGTCCGGGTTGAGGGCTCGAGGAGAAAGGAGATGCTTGGGGAGAGCTTGCTTCCCCGCTCTGCCCTGACTGGGGGGGAGGGGCGCAGGGAGGGCGGCTGCGGCCTCGGTGGCCAGGAGCATGGAGTCTGTTCTCCGTTTGGCGCGTCTGCTTGTGACGGCCCCACCTCTGCAGCGGCCAGCAGCTGCGGGGTGGCGAGACAGACTCAAACTGACAACAGGCAGGAGGCTCAGGGAAAGAGCAGCTGACAACCATTTGAACACTGGTGGGTGCAGAAAACCCTTATGAAAAATGAGGCTAATGTGGGAAATGCCATTACAGACAGCATCAGCCCGCACGGCTTGCCTCTGTAATTAAATTTTCCTCAATTCCACCTCATCAGATTTCTTGAGATTACCAGGGACGCATCAATAGCAAATTACTCTTGATGAATCATTTTACAAATTGCAGCGCACCCACCTTGAAGCTCACTGTCACCGGAACACGGCTCGTTGATACAACTACTGACAACAGGGGCTGCTCCCTGGGGGCCTGGCGGTCCCTGGCCGGCCCTGGGCCCAGCGGGAAGAGCCTGGCCTTCTCAGAAAGCCCCGAAGCAAAACCTGGAACTCAGGACCCCTTGGAAAGCCTCGACTCTTCGGGGAGGAGTGGATTCGGGGTCGCTGTTCTGTCCTCCGGGTGTGCCTGGGGCAAAGGGGAGGCCCGCTGCCTTTCCTTCGCCACCTTGTCCTCCCTGCGGGCTCTGGAGGCCCTCGGAGGCTGCGGGCTGGCCACGGGGGCCCTGCTGGCCCAGTCTGGGTAGGCTCTGGCACGGTGTTGCCTGTCTCACTAGGGAGCAGACATCCGTCTCTAGAAAGCGCCAGTCCACGTCTTTCTGCAGCTCAGCACAGAAAACTTAGCCAAAGTCCACCACGCTCTTTCAGCCCTCCCTTTGAGGCGTCCAGGGACCCTGTCCTAGAGCTATGACCCAGTCCAGACCGTGTTTTTAGCTAACCGAGGCTGGAATAATGCTTTCTGGCTTTGTGACTGGGTAGGTGGAGACAAACCATTTCAAGTACCAAGTGACCAGGACACCCCGCCTCTGGGAAGTGGGTTTCTGGGTATAGGCAAGTTGAAGTGTGACATTCTTCTTGGCAGTGTTATCTGGAATAAGAACAGCAGTGAAAGACACTGTGTGCCCCCCGCATGGAGGTGACAGATTGTGGGTCCTTAACCCCGTGCACACCATGCAGCTGGCGGCTGTTACTGACGTGGGAGTGAGGCAGGCGACTCCAAAACGTGTCGCTGCAGCCTTTAACAGAACATGACGTGCCTGTGGCTTAGTTTCTGGTTTCTGTGTGTGTGGTGTAAACGCCCAGAGACTTCTAGGTGGAGGTGGACACCGACTCTTGGTGAAGGTAGGATTTAGTGGGGCGGGAGACACTCCCCGTGATGAGAAAGGGGAAAGAAGGAATTAGAAAAAGAAAAGTCAACCCTTGGGATGAGTTAAGAAACGACAGGCAGACCCGCAGGGAGAAAGGAAGGCAAGCGGTTTGGCTTGCTTTTGAACTTGAAATACCTGCATCATAATTATGATTCTAGTCTATTTCCCCCTCAAATTGTTTCAGAGACTTCCTGACTTGCCGTGGGGATGGTGTTGCAGGGACAGTCCCTGCATCACAAAACCCAGGCCCTACAGCGCCCCACCCCGCCCCCTCCTCAGGGCTACTGGGGGGCCCTGGTTTCCGGCCAAGTGTCTCCAGGCGTCTGCCCGGCGGTGGACATCTGAAAAGGGGCCTGGTCATCTCTACTCGGCCAAGGCCCAACTCGCTTACTTCCTACCCACTCCCCTGCCTCTGGGTGGACAATCATTCGTGTCTGACCTGACCCAGCAGCACCTGGTACCTGGCGACCTCCAGACATTCCTGATGGGGCAGGTGTGAGCGGGACTCCTCTCTGCCTTTCATTTGCTTTTCTGTCATCATTCACGAGCCAAGCATTTTTTCACATAGGAATGAGGCCCTTTATGGGCGCTCTACTTTTTTTTTATCAGGGACAGACCAGGCTTTCCTCGCCAGGGGTCAGGGAGTGAATAATGTGGCCCCTGTGGACACCGCAGTCTTTGTCTCAACTGCTGTGCTGTGCCCCCGGGGCAGCCATAACCAGTATGGCAACCAATGGGCAGGTCCCTGTTCCAATAAAACTTTATTTACAAAAACGGGGTGGGCTGGCTTGTAGTTTGCTGATTTCTGGGACTGCTGCATATATTCTGAAGAGCGGTGCTATTTCAAAAATGTGTAACTCATATTTCCCAATAGTCTGGGATTTGTCTTTCCGCCCAGAGTATCATGTTTTGGTGAACATGATTTCCTACTTTAATGATCATTTTTGAAACGGGGAACACAATGTGCTGAAACGCACTTATCTGCTTGGGTTTACTTTCCCATATTGTCTTAACTAGGGCTGGGCCCGGGGAGTACCACGGGCGAGCGTCTAATAAATAGGGATCTGCTCCACCGACAGGTGACATCTCCCCAGCGTGTAGGCAGAAGGTTACACGGTTCTTGCTGGCAGATGAGCAGGAAAATCTGAGGGCAGCGAGATGCCCTCCCTCCAAGGTGCCCACACCTGCCCTCCTCCAGGAGCTCCCTGCCCCCCGCACTCCCGCCTCCGCCATGTGAGCAGCATTGCCTGGCCAGGAGAAGGCCCTGAGGAGCTGGGCTGGAAGCCCCTCAGGGGCTCTGGGGGACTCACCTGGCTTGATGGGCTGCCTGTTGGAGAAGGTCAGAGGGGCGATGAGGAATTTGGTCTCTGCAACTGGCACCCAGTGGTGGAGGATTTTCACTGTCCAGACCCCAGGCCTCAGGGGCAAGTTCAAAGGGGGCTTGTAGTGGGTGAATTCGGCCGTGGACTCGATCAGGATGTCATAAGTGGCCGCGATGATGTTGACGGGATCCACCCAGATGACAGTCACAGTCACGTTGGGGCCCTTCCCCCATTTCTGCATGCCCACCGGTTCGTCCATGGGCCCCAGGAGACCCCCAAAGTTGCGGAAGAGCCGCTCCTTGGCATCCCATTCCGTGCCGACCTGAAACAGCAGAGGGATCCTGAACTCTCTAGGCCTGAACTGGGTGCTGGGTCCTGGGGAGGATCCTGCTTGTGGGGCTTCATATACCACTTTCCAAATGAAGAAGCTGAGCGCCCCCCCCCCAAGTCAGCTGCTCAAAGTTGCGCAGGTCTGGGGTTCGGGGTTCAGACTTCGGCTGCCTGATTCTAAGGCCTGTGGTCTCTTCACTACATCACTGAGCCTTCTGTGCCCAGTGCAAGGTGCGTGCTTTGTTCGAATGAGGCCACGTGCGGGGCATCCCAAGGAAACACCTTCTCTCTGCCCTCCGCAGGTTTGGCTGACCTCCGCTTTGGGCCTTGGTTTTCTTACCAGGCTTTCATTGGCGTGCTGGTCTGGCACCAGAGTGGAGCTGGGGCTCTGGAGCCGCCCCCGGGGCCCCCCAGCATCGCCTGTCATTTGCAGAAAGTCAGATGGCTTTGGCTGCCCTGCGGCAGGCTGAGCTGGACGCTGGACAGGAGACGGCTGCTCAAGCATCCTTCCTGCCAGCTGGGGGTGAGGGGGTGGCTTTGACCCACCAGGAACGCTCTTGGCTTCCTTTCCCTTCCAGTGCCTGCAGCTGTTCTCCACCCCGCAGCCAGAAAGGCCCTGTGGACCGCTCCTTCAGCTCAGAGCCCGGGGCTTGGTTCCCTTCTCTGTTGTGCCGAGCCCTGTGCCTGATCGCCCTTTGTGGAGGGAACGAGTGAATGACATCACAGAAAAGCGAATTAAGTGTGTAGATCAAGCTGCTGAGCCCTGATGGCAAATCAGATCCACCCCATGAGGTTTTAATTTAACGTTGCAGCAGCATATGGGCAGGCTGGTGGTAGAGGAGGACACCGCACTGCTGTGTGGCCTCTGTGGGGCTCCGGGACGGCCTTCAGGGGCACAGGCCTGCGTGTCAGGGTGTGGGCTGGGTGCGGTGCGGGCAGGTACGCCTATACCCAGGAGGATGTCACACGTGCGGTGCAGATAGCGGATTTCTCGCCTCTTGTCCCCGCCATGAGTTACTGTGTCCATTCTTTACCTGGACACAGAGCGCCACGGCTGCTATTTACCAAGGGCTCGTGGAGTGCCAGGCATGAAGCTGAGTGCCTGGGTGCATCGATGTGCTCAGCACTACCTCTCCATGAATGGAGACTCTTGGGATCATCCTCCTTTTGTAGAGGAGGAAACTGAGGCACAGAGCAGGGTGTGACCTGCTGGCCAGCGAGGGGCACCGCCAGTGTGGGGCCCCGTGGGTCTGACCGCAGAGGCCGGGCACTGCTCACTCTAGTGACGCTCTTCATTCCTTCACCCCCCACAGGCCGGGAGCCTCCGCCCAGCAGCTGACTCGGGCAGTCACCTTGCACTCCAGGTTTCCAGCCCGGGTGGAGTCTAGCCTGGGTAAGGCCCAGCCTAAGAGTCACCCTGCTGTCACTGTGCGCCAGGCCCTGAGCTGAGCACTGTCTGCCGCCCAGTGGGTCAGGGACCGGCTCGGAGGCGCCCAGGGCCGAGCACAGAGGCTGGCACAGGAGCGTGGTAGGGAGAAAGTGACACGACTCACTGAAGGGCGGGCCCAAGCCAGGCCTCCAAGCCTTAGGGCTTTCTCTGAAGCAGCTCACCCCTACTTCCCCCGCACAGCCCTTTGGCTCCAGGGTTCGGAAGTCCCGTCCCTCAGCCTGTCGGTGAGGTGTGGCCTCTCCTGGCCTGGCCCGGCTTCCTCCCCAGCCCTCTGCGCCCTCCCGGGCCCCCAGCCTGGCTCCCCCGGCCGCCTCCTGCCCCCACCCCTCTGGCCACTCTCTCTGGTCGCTGGACCCCAGCCTGGCCGTCACCTCCACACAGAGGTGTGGGGGCACTGCTGTGGGACTTCTGTAAGCACTGGCCCCTTAAGGCCTCCCTTTCTTTTCTGGCACAGAACTGCAACTTACCCTCACATTTCTCCCTGGCACAGGGCTGCAGACTGAGGGCAGAGCAGGGGTAACAAATGAGTCACGTGCTGGCTTTGCAGCAGCGAGAGCTGGGTCAGTGCTGAGCTCTTCTACGTCCTAATTTTGGTCCAGAAAAATCACTGCATGTCCACAGGCCTCAGAAATCCAATCTGTCAAATGGGGGGATGACGCTACCTCATTGGGAAACTGGCTTGTTACTGGTCTATCACTAACACCGGCTGAGGAGGAGGAACTGGCTTATTCAGTAATGGATCTGTGCATCCTGAAACGGTGCTGACCATATAGGGGGCACACAGAGCCCACCTACCTGACTGTCCCCTAGCTCCCTGGCTGTGCCTGTCACTAACCTGTCATGAAGACGAGGGCCCAGCACACGCCTCCACAGCACCCAGCTCCCCGACACTGACTATCCAACAGAAGCTCACAAATGAATGGTTCCAATAGTACCTGGGGTCCTAAAGGGCTAGCTGGAGCCGGTCAAGAGCATGCGAGCACACTCTAGAACATTCTTCCCCCACAGAAGTGGGGTGAGCAATTCTTTGAAGTCTGAGTTCTCAAACCCAGAGAACTTGGGTGGGAAGGCGGCGGAGCAGCTGAATGTTGGCACTCTGGACCCTGTTCCTAACCTGGGGTGCAAGGAGAAAGCCCGTGGGCAAGGGGGTCGGGCGGGGTTGCCTCCCTGTGGACGCTCACACCACTCATCTCAGAGTGACCGACTGCTCAAATTTAAGTGTGCGTGCAAGTTCGAGCTCAATATACTGCTCTCCAGCCTCAAGCTTAACAAAGCCTTTCCAGCACGCGCAAGCTAACGACAATCCGGGCCTCTCTCACGCCCCAACGGCCCACCATGGTCTGTCCTACCCCTCTGAGTCCCTCTGGCCGCTCTCACTCCCCTCACTTTGCCACACTGGTCTCGCTGCTCCTCACGTGTACCAGCCCCCCCTGGAGCCTCAGGGCCGCTGCACCTGCTCTCAACCCGGTGTACCCCAGGTCTCCCCGGGCCTCCTGCAGTGGTTTCAGCTTCCCTAGTGAATTTTGCCATCGACAGTGGTCCCCAACAGCCTCTCAAGTCCTCCACAATTCCATGAGGGCAGTTTTATTTTCTTTCTGATACTTGTCAATAGCTAAAGCATTTTTTGCTCACTTATTTGCACGCTCCTTGGCGGGCGGCCCCACTGGACAGCAGTTCCATGGCAGCAAGGGTCTGTCAGGTTCGCTCTCGTGCCGCCTGCACCTGTCGGGTCGCAGGCCCTTGTCGAAGGCCAGCGGGAGGAGGCGCACTCCTGGGTAAGCCACCAGCGCAGAGCTCCACGGGACAGAGAAATCTGTCCGAGCTGCTCAACAACCCTGGCCACCGTCGGGAGCCGGGCACTGGGCAAGGCCCAGGGGCTGTGCCAACACGCGGTCTCCGTGGCTCACAGAGCGGCGTGGCCTTCCTTTCCTGCTTCTAGCCAGCTTTATTTACACTAGCGGCTTTAAAATGAAGACTTCAGGGAAAAATTCAAAAAACTGGAGTCTGGGCTCTCTGCATCATACACGGCTACTCCACCAGAGATTCTGGTGGTTCTCAGAACGAGGGGACCGGACCCCCAGCAGGATCCCTCCCAAATCACTAGCTAGAAAGTGGCCGGCGGCGTCTGTCACTGCTGGAAGTGCCCAGTCAGCCAGCAGCAGACGGATAAACAGGGCAGGCCGGCCGCTGGCATCCGTCTTCTTAATGGGACATTAATGTCTTCAACTGGCCACTTGGGTCCCCGGCACAGATCCAACTGGGACAGCATCTAACTGTCCCCAGACGGCAGTAAGTCATGGCGTGGGCTCCCGCGGCGGCCGGGTCCAGCCAACCCACTGGAAGCCTTCAGGGGGTGGCTGAACAATCAACTCCTGCCCTTGCCTGTGCAATGTCCATTCTGTGGCACAAGTGTGTCCACAGGGGACTGGAAAAGAACTGGCTAGGAAAGTATAGGCAGGGGACACCCCACTTCCAACCCCTCCACGTCCCCATCTTTTTTTTTTTTTTTAAGATTCATCCATTTATTCATACAGAACTGGGGCGCAGGCAGAGATGTGGAGGGTGAGAGGATTCACCAGAGAGAGACCGGGGAGCAGAACAGGCAGATCGACGAAGTACACTGCTGAGGGGAGCAGCGGGCGGGCCAGGAGAGGTCTGCCGCACCATGTGGTCACCTCCGGGGCAGGCGGAGATCGAACCCATGCGAAAGTGGCTTTAGCTTCCTAGTGCTGTGCTTTAACCCACTGCGCCACCAGGAAGGGCCCACATCCCCATCTTTTAAAGTCAAACTCTTCACCCTTAGCTGTGCAACCAAAGCCGCCAGGAAACTTAACTCTTGTGCTACTGGCTGCCGTGGGAAGGGCAGAAGTCAGGGGCTGGCGTTTGGCGTGGGCACCCTCACGGGGCTCGGCCTTGCCTTCCTCTCCTCCCAGCAGCGCCAGCCAAGAGCATCGCCTCATTCGTTCAGAAACCTTACTCTGTCCGTCCACTGGCACACCTGTCCACTCATCCATCCTTTCACTCATCCATCTGTGCACCCACTCATTCATGTATCCCTCCACCCACCCACCCACCCACCTGCCCACTCAGTGACTGAGCTGAGATGGCTGTGATTTGTCATCTATGAAAGCTGGGTTCAATTTTGACTTCTTCCATTTCCTACTGAGTATCCAAAAAACTATTGCATAGGCCTCAGTTTTTCTATCTGTAAAATGGGATTAGTGCTGCAACATCATTAGGAAACTGGCTTGTCACTGGCCCAGTACAGGTTTGGGGGAATCGCTGGGTAGGATAAGCCCTTCAAAGGAACAGAAGTGCTCCTGTCTAACCAGAACAGGGCTGCCGGTGGGTTCAGAGCCCTGAGAGTGAGCCTTCTGCCCTGTTCAAGGTGCTGATTCCAGCCCGAGGGGTGGGGAAGGACCTCCTCTAGACGCCGGGTAAGCTTATGGTAGGTGTGCTCCACCCCTCTTTCCTGGGACTCAAGCTACAAGTATCAGGCTGTGGAACAGACACCATTAACACAGCTGTTGGCGGTGGAGAAGCGTGACGATGTCTGCTCTCTTACCTCAGAGAACTGGAGCCTCCCGAAGTCGCTGGGTGGGCTTGCAATCTTGAAGACCTTCTTTGGCATCACCCACGTCTCCAGGGTCTCGAGTTTGCTCACGGCCAGGTTGGTGGCGTGATGCTTGATCAGAAAGCCTTGGAAGCGGTCAGCCAGGAAGTAGAGGTGGACGGACACGGGGTGGCCCATTGGGTAGTACCTGAAAACATGCACACGGTCACGTGAGCTCAGGGGTGAGCCCCGGAGGGGTGTCGGGTGACCAAGGGGCTCCCCCTCCACCATGCTGACCCTGTTGCTCTGATGTGCCTGAAAGCGCTCTCTGTGCACCTATGATCTCAACAACTAAGAAGGATTTTTTTCCCTGATTTTTAAATGCAAAAGTGCTGGCCCAGCGAGCACAATAGAGAAAATATAAATTACTACTTTTGATGCTTCTTCCCACAGATGATGTCAATTCACGGATATTTATGGATCCTTTGCTGCTAGGTACTGGGAAGCAACACTGGTGTGCAAACAATGTCATATTGACATATTTCCTTCCACTTTTATTTTCTATGCATATATTTGCATAAATCTGACATAGATGGGATCATAATCTACATACTAGTTACATCCTGCTCTGGCTTCGCAGTATTTCCTGAGTATCAGCACACGTCTCTGAAGTCTCTGAAGGCAGGATTTGTGCGTGCACGGACTTTGTTCCACTGTCCCTCAAGCCGAAGGTCATAGAACGACTTCCCCATGACTGGGGGGGCTAACTGGTTTCTGATGTTTCCCATTCTAAACAACGCTACATTCGACATCCTTGAGCAAGAATACGTTTTGGAAATCTCTCATCTCCAAAGGGCTCTTTATGTCTGCTGCCCCCACTTACCAGGTGGGCTGTACCGGTTTATACTCTCACAGTTCCTCTCACCAACGGCATTGAGTATTATCCTTAAAAATCACTGCCGACCTAAGAGGCATAGGTGCACAACTCACAGGCAGGCAGCTGGTTTTAAGAGCTATGTCTCTGATCCCCAGTAGCTTGCTGGCTGCAAGGGGCAAGGAATCTAAGCAGAGATGCTCCAGGGAGGAGGCGGTGAGCAGAGCAGAAGGAGGGAGGAGTGGTCACCAGCCAGCTCTTTGTCCTTCCTACTTGTAAAATCAAAAGCTGCCGTTTTCTGCAATGTGTAAATTGCATAGCACTTAGGGGTGCTCACGACTCCTTAATAACAGCATTCTGCACATCACTGTTCCCGCTAGGCTCAGCCTTCCTGCTTTCTGGTCCCAGTCTGGAGTTTAAGTCTTTATGTCCAATTACAACGGTTAGGAAGGCCCCTTCCAGTGTTTACACCCTTCCCGAAATCACTGCCTTGTTATGTGGGATGCCTCCAGGGTGCAGGAAGGGGCCTGCACGGCTTCATGCTGCACGCTGGCAGTCACAGTGGGGCTAACCTGTTGGGTCTGGGCTTGGGAGTAAACATCCCCCGCTGGCCGAGCTACATCCCAGCTCCGCTGTCCCACAAAGGCGCCGCTTTGGACTGCTGGGCACTTGACATGTGGCTGAGGAACTAAGTTCCAAATTTTAGTTTATTTACACGTAAATACCCACTTGGGGCTGGGGGTGCCAGGACAGGAGTCGTAGCATAGGGAGTGGAGGCGAGTTTTGTGGTTGCACTCATGATCCTAGCTCGTCATGTTCCCTGAGTGGACATGCTTTTCCACGTGACTTTGCGGGTTTCTTTGCACCAGTGAGACAGTCTTCTGGCTCCACTCTTGAACTCACTTTGTTGAGCAGAATATGATGGGAGGGGTGCCGCACCAGACCTGGGTCAAACACTCTGGAAACTAGGAGTTCAGCTTTGATGGCTGGGTGTCCTTTCTCCCGTCATGCACAGCAGCAGCCAGAGCAAGCCACTACCAAGTCCTGCCTGCACTTTGCAGGATCCCTCTCTTTCTGGCCCCGTGTTGATTTGCTGTAACTTATCCTCAGCAGTGTGGCCATGATCCACTGCTTAAATCCTCCCAGTGGCATTGCTTAATGCCTGCGGTCAAAGTCCAAACTTCTTACCCGGTCACCCAGGTTTCCCCCCGCCCAGCCCCCCACCTCTTGGGCACACAGCTCTGACTCTGGATTCTTGAACTCGGCTAAGCTCATTTCCACCAACGGCCCTTCGCACGGCTGCTCTCTGCTGGGAACGCTCTTCTCTTGTAATTGCCCTGCTGGCTCTGTATTGTCATTTTGCTTAAATGTTACCACCTCCAGGTGATCTTCCTTCACCACTGGATCTTAAGTCACCAACTCTTCGCTACGACTCTGCGCTTCGGCAGAGCACTTACTCCTACTGATCTTGGCTGCTTCCTACATGTGTTTAGGCCCTGTCTGTCTCCATGCAAGAACAAGAGGGCTGGTCTCGCTGGGTCACAGCTGATGTCCAATGCTGACATCCTACCACGTGGGAGACGCTCAGTCAATACTTGGTGATTGATGGAAAATTCTAGAAGGATTTTCTCTTGACTCCTTTGCTTCTCAAGTACCTCTAGGCTACGTGTAACTCACCATAGAGCCCCTCGGATGCTCATCTCGATGGTACTGAAGCAATGAAAACAGGGGAGAGTTCATTTTGACGGTCCAGTACGTAACTGCACCGTATGCTGCAGAACGCTGCAGTGCCATATGCAAGATGCAGTGACGCTGGGGTGCCACAGGTGCATCTGCTTAGCCCATGAGTCTCACTGGCTCTCTTCTGATCACTCACCGACATGTGCTTCTTGCTTGGCCATGGGGAGCATGTGACTTTGAGGACCAGTAACCAAGTACAACATCCTCATCTCTGGATGCGGGCTCAGAAGCAAACTTTATTTTGTTATGCTCTCAATCTGCCATTTGGAAAATTTCTACAATCAGCTTGCATTATTTCACAATAAGAAAAAAATCAATATGCATTATTTTTATGAAAGGGTATACTCTAATCTGGACAGACTTAATTTGCATGAAATGCCAAGAGAAAATGAGATTCTTGAAATAAAAGTTTTCTCTGGCTGTTTCTCCAGATATCCCAGGGGCAGGAATTTGCTCCTTTGCCTTTTGGAGCAAGGGCCTTTTGTCTAGATTTATTTGCAGGCTCATGTTCATAATATACCGGCTTTGCCCACAGCAAGGTACAATGGTTCTATTATAATAAAAAATGAGCAGAAGCCAAAGGATTCTAGGTCTGGAGCAACTTGGTGGTCACTTAGTTTCAGAAGAACTAATGGGAAAAAATTCCAATGACCCTAAATAAATAGAGAATCTTCGATATGGTCATAAATCTTGAAAATGTTCTGAAACCTGGGATCCGAACTACTCTTGAATGACATCCACCTCCCAAGAGCCAGGCGCTGGGCTAAGTACCCACTGGGGCTACACCGGGCCACAGCAAGGCTTCTGCCCCAGATGAGCAGGGGAAAGACGCCGTGATCTTGACTCTGACTGCGAGAGTGTCAGCGTAGTCTAAGCCAGCCTGAGCCTGGGAGGAGGAGCAGGTGAGCCGGGGTCTTGGAACGAGCTGCAGAGAGAGTGAGGCACTTGAGGGGCCCCGAGGAGAGACAGGGTTGGCTGTGCAGGGACAGGGAGGCTGGTGGGTGACGGGGCTTGTGGGGGCGCCATTCAGCAATAACGGGGCGTCCAGCTCACTGAGTCCCTGGTGACGCGTGCGTGGGCATGCATGAAAGGGATGCGCACTTTACTGATGATACGAAGATGCTTGAAATGGGGATAAAAATAACACACAACTCACTAGGGAGTGGCTGAGGACTAAGCTGCACCCCGCCTCATGGCTGTGGGCGTTACCATTATTTCCATTTTCCAGAGGAGGAAACGGAGGCTCTGAGCCGTTAATGATCTGCCTGAGGTCAACAGGGAATAAGTGTGGGTCCTGGAGTCCCAGCCCCGGCGGGCCTCCCTTTAGACTGAATCAGAACCCAGAGGGTTCTGTGGCCACAGACCACCTGGCGCGGCACGCGTGGCACCGCCAGGGAACCGCCCTGAGTTCTAGGGAGCACACAGATGGTCTCTTTCCTTCCCTCCCTAAAATGGAGAAAAACAGGGCAGGGAGGCCACCAGGGAAGGCTGGATGCAGAAATCGTTCTCTGTCTGTTGTTAAAACAGGGAAGTAGGAGGGAGGACAAGGAAGAGAGGAGGGTGCTTTGAGGCACTTTTGGGAATTGATCCTAGGGAAATAATCAGAAAAGAGAAAGCAGAAAAAAAAAAAAGACTTTCTGCAAAAGACATTCATCAGAATGTTGTTTACAGCGGCCTAGCCCAGAGCTGCCAGCAGCCAGAGAGGGTTGGGTTAAGCAAGCTGGAATTTCTGCTCAATGGGAGTGGAGAGGCTTTCAAAAGGCTCATCACCAACAGGAAGCTTCAGCGCAGGTGGGGAAGCGGGGGCTGGTGTCTCAGTGCCCAGTGGAGAAACAGCACGCCAAGGGCTTGCTGCTGTCCTGCAGACGACTCAACGCTCGGTGCAACGTGTGACTCGCTAGGCATATTCCTAGGCATGGCTGAGAAGGGGGGGGGGCACGTTGAAATATTCCTCCCCTTCATCTTTCCACTTATTCTAGAACATTCTTTGCTGATGCCCACTGCTACCGGTGAATGGTAGGCGAGATGATCCAAAGGGGTATTTGAACATTTTAAATAATAGTTCTGCGTGTTAGTGGTGTTTGGGGCTATATTTTCAGGTGTGATAATGATAGTATGGTTATGCTTTTACAGGGAGCCTTTATTTCCTCAGACATACATATTAAAATATTTATGGCTGGAACGATATGATGTCTGGGAGTTGTCTCAATCAAACTGATCCGGGAGGAGGGCGCAAGCAGGGAAGGTGAAGATGAAGTGGACAGGCCCGGAGCTGGTAATTGCTGGAGCTGTGCATGCGGGCACAGGGTTACACCTGTTCTCCGTTTTGTATATATTTGACATTTTCCATAATGACAAGTAAAAATAAAACCTGCATTTTCAGTTACCTTCTGCTGAAGACAAACACAACCCTATAATATGGTGACACAAAGCTTCCTTCTAAAGTACATATATTTAGTCTAAAGAATGTGCCCACTGAAGGAAATAATCAGGTGAGCACCAGCGTCGGTGTTCTGGGACACGCTCCCGACGCAAGGTGGCTGTCTGGATGTTCGCACTGTAGACACTCTGGGTCCCAGCTCTGCTCTCCGCACACCTGGCCCCCTCCCCTCGGCTCACCTGCAGCTGTTCTCTCCCTCCGTGTGCAGTGAGGACTCGGCCCTTCGCAGGCCCAGGCGCGTGAAGGAGTGGTACAAGGTGAGCGCAACATCGCTCAGGCTGTGGATGCCATCGGGCTCGTCATAGACGCTCTCCCAGTAGGAACGGAGGCCTGGGGTGCCCGCAGGGTAGTTCCCGTACAGGTAATAGTCCAGCTGCCCGATGATTTCCTGGTTCACCACGGCTTCGAACTTGCGGGCGAAGAAGGTGGGTCTGGCTGTCTGCTGCGCTCCAGGGATAGAAAAACAGTATCAGCAA